CGCAGGAGTCACGCCCGCCGCCAGAAAGGGGTTGGGAGGGGGAGACTGTTGCTGGGCGTAGGGCAATGATCATGTTTGCATGAGCATGTCAACCCCCTTATGATCAGTGGTAGTGTGTACCAGACAAAGTTCTTTGGGTAGATGCGGTAGCTTTGATTAGAGCAGGGGTGGGCAAGATGTGGCCCACCAGACCATTCTATCCGGCCCGTGGGGCCCCTAAAAATGTTAGAAAATTAATATTAATCTGCCCTGGGCTGCCTGTTACATGGCCTTTGATGGTTTGCCAAACTCTGTAAGTGGCCCTCTGCCCAAAATAATTGCCCGCCCCTGGCAGAAACCAACTACATAGGAACATTGTTCTTTTGCACGCTTCAGGACACAAACAGTCAGGCACTTTTGAGGCAGCTCATTGATAGGGTGTAGGTAAAACCCAAGGTGCTCTCATAGAGAGCATTTTGAGTTGTGGGACGCAGTGCCCAGCGCTTAGCAAGCACCTGCTTTAAAGTGCCCACGTGTCACGTGTATCAGCGTCCCTGTGTTGAACACATGGCAACAGGGCACTCGGAACTAAACCTCATCCAACGTGTTTTATTTCAAAGCCTACCACCACCATTTTTTCAGTGCGGGGATGCTGATCCACGTGATGTGGAAGGCTGCCAGCACCTATCAATTTGTGTTCTCCAGCAGACTAGATTAATCAAGCCTGCTTCCTGCACATGTATAGGAGGCTTCTAGCCTTTTGATGTGGTTGGACAAAAGATACTGGATTTACCCAAAGAATTTTGTCTGCCTCTAGCCTTAACCGACTTGTGGGTTTGCTGTCAGCACTCTTTCATGACTGCTTGCCCCAAAATAAAGAAATGCTTCCACTTTGATGGCCCAGTTTTCATTCACTCTCTTAAGAGTTACAGTGAGTAATATAAAGTAAATAATAAGACTTATTTGCATATTTTTCAGTGTATGATATTATAATTTGAAGCATCCAATACAATGATTTCATATTCAAGGCCTGGTAATGCTTGGGTGAGAAGAGAGGTGCTGACCCTAGCAAGGGCCTCAGGATTGAGCAGTGCTACCTCTACCCCACCACCTCGTCCCTGCCATATGTTATATGTATGATGCAAGTCACTGTTGTGGGCAATAAATGTAGAATGGCTGCATGTGCAAAGGAATGATCCTGCTGTAGAAATGGCCACCCACCTAGAAAAGGAGACAACCAGCTACACTTAGTGCTTGAAAATGAGTAACAACTTTATATGTTGGTTTCTATCCAGGTTCCATTTGAACTGCGGCAAAGCCCTGAGGTGCCAAACAGCTCTGCTGTTACCAGCCTCCTAGGGCAAAAGGCCCAAGCCCACCTAGGGGTTGGCAGAGCTATAGCAGACCTGGGTTAGCCATCAGGATTTTTCCAGCCCATCCAGGGCCTCCCCTGCAAGTTCCCTGCTCTTTGGAATGGGGTCTCTAGCTCAGTTAGAATATCTTTCAAATTTGAATTTTGCCACTTGCAAATTAAAATTAATAAATATTGAGGATAATTGCTTCATTCGAGTCAAAGTTCTTTTTCAGGAATTGTAGGTCCTGTATCTGGACATGTGGTTGGACTGTTCCTTTGAGGTTCCTTCCAGCCTTGTGATTTGGTGTTAATTGGGGTCTATATGGTTAATATTGATAAACTATTAATGCAAGTAAGCTAGAATTCAAAGATGGAAGCTAATTGTACACAGTACTCCATCTGGGTAGTTTTCCTCACAATCAAGTGATGCATTTTCCTGATAAAATACTTCATGGTTACAAACATTACAGAACAGCAGGGAGAAAGCTTCATTGAGAGTTACTCAGTCCCTTCTACCACCCTGTACAGGTTCAGGCTCAGCAACAAAGGTTTTCTCCGCATTCCTGCAACTTAATTGGATTTGACAATAGGTATCATAGAAGGCCAGGAATTTGCATTAGGGCTGTGCGAAACGGCTACGTTTAGTTTTGGTTTTGGATCCAGCCATTTCAGAGGGCAGTGATTTGTTTTGGTGTCTCAGATCACTGTTCCATTTCAGTTTGGCTGAATCTGTTTTGGAGTTTTGACACTGTTTCAGAGATTCAGATCGGCCAGGGAGAGGCAGATACAGCTGGGCAGCTGCAGGTTCTCCCGCGGCTCCTTAGGCTGTGCCTGCCTCTGCCCTGCAGGAGAAGCCCCCAAGGCTGCCTTTCCCTCCGGCCCCAGCCCCCCAGCACTTAAAAAAAAAAAAAAAAAAAAAAAGCAGCCCTGCACTCACTGGCTGCAGCAGCAGGGATCAAGGCCTCTGATCAGCAGCGGGGATAAAGGCCTTTTTTTTTTTTCTTTTCTTTTTTTTTTAAGTGCCGGAAGGTTGGGGATGGGGCCGGGCAGGGCAGCCATGGGGGCTTCTCTGGCAGCTCCTCTCTCTGTGCCTGTCTCTGCCCCAGCGGGGCAAGAGAAGCCCCCATGGCTGCCCTGGCCAGCCCAGCCCCATCCCCAGCCTCCCAGTACTTTAAAAGAAGGGCTGCGGAGCTGTGCCAGACTCTTCTTTGGGGCACCTCTGAAATGCTCTGAAACATCTGAAACGTTTTGGACGGTTTCATTTAGTTTTGGAGATGTTTTGGAGCCTTGCGTTTCATTTCAGATTCGGTGTTTTGGTCAGCGAAACAGGCCAAAACACCTCTAAAACTAAACAGCTGCCAAAATTTCTCACACCCCTAATTTGCCCCTTATGGACTAACCAAAGTAAATAGAGATATATAGCACAAGCCACACTCAGCTCCTCTTGGTTTTGAACAGCGCTCTTCCACTGGATATATTCTGAACCTAATGTGATCAGTGTGCTTGTTTTTATTAACACACACAGTTCATTTTTACTGTAAACATGGTCTGAGAACAGGTCATCCTTCAGGGAAGATGGTTACCTCAAAGCAGCTGCAGAGGATCCTATGGGAGCAAAGTCTGTAAGGGAGGAGAGATTATACAATATAGGAAAAGGGCAGTCAAACAGACAATAAATTTTAACTCATCAACTGTATTACTGTACTTCAAGGGTAGTGCGCTTATCAATCTTTTACACTAGTTTCAAAAAAGTTTTTCAAGTACATTAATGATGATGCCTGCTTTGAGGTAACAGCTGTAACTTTATTTTTCAATTCTGCCTTACTCACAATCTTAAAACATCCAGGCACTTTTCTTCCTTTTATACTAAAACACTCTGACTAAATAAATCACAGGACCTTCTCCTTCCTTTATGAAAGGAGAAATCTGTTTGTATACTGTACAGGTACACAGATTTTGTTGTTATTCCTAAAGGGTCACTCAGTACATACTGTACACAAAGATTCAAAAGCTAATTAGTCAAGCCTCAGCTAAGATCAGTTGTTCTACTGCATTTCACAGAAACTTAATGTCATGGATACACCCAAATGCAGGATTGAATTTTGGGGTGCCATGTGTGTCAGTAAATATCTCTCTGACGTAGAGTTACTGCAGTGGTGTTTGGTCTCTGTTTATGTTAAACTATGTTCAGTTTTTATCATTTTTAAGTTGATATGAACCCAGTTATTTGGTATGAATGCATTTTTATAATGTGAATCAAAACAGGCAGTAACTTGATTGTTGGATCAAATGTCAGGAAAGTCCCACATCAGACAATAGGTGTTCACACATCCAAAGTGAAACCAATCTCAAGAGTTGCTTTTGGATCAATCTGGGATTTTTGGCAAGGCTCTCAGTATTTGCGTGCCTTAGACGTGCCAGCACCAAAAAACGGCTAGTTACATATCAAAGGGAAATAACTCACTTTACGCAGACAAGGACTAGAGTACATTTCAAAAGAAAAACTCATGCTGAGAGAGCAATCAGAGATAGCCGAGAAAATCTGATACTCAGTTTCTCCATCTAGAAACCATAAGTAAAAGCTGTAAACATTTCTGCCTTGAATACAGTACCATATTTACCCAAATCCAAGACAACTTTGAATCTAAGATGACCCCACAATAAATAGATTCTACATGTGGAAAATTATAAATTTGTTTTAAATTTCCATGTAAAGGATCTAATTCTTGCAAGGTCATCTTAAATTTGCCTTCCCACCACTGCCATGAAAAAAATAGTGCCAGGGAGGCAAGTAGCAGGGGAGGCAGGGGCCTGACCCCTGCACCCTCCCTGCTCCACTTGTCCCCCTCCCCATCAGCAGCAAAGTAGGTTTAGATAGGATATCAGAAAAAAAAAATTCTGCGTGCTTAAAACTGTGAGGCAGCGGAATAGACTGCCAAGGGAAGTTGTGGTCTGTCCTTCACTGGAGATGTATAAGAAGAGGTTGGACAGACATTGGTAAGGGCATGGGCAACTGATGCCTCCTGACTCATGCCCAGCAGCCAGTCAGCAACGCTGCCCCAGAAGTGCCAGGGGTGCTTCTCTTGGCACCCCCACTCTCCGGCTGGTGCTCTCAGGGGGGCACCGGCCCTCCCGCCTCCAACTCCTGCCTGTCAGGGGATGCACCAGCGCCAGTGGGTCAGGGATAACTTAGGTATAGCTGTGCCTGTGTTCTGTTATGGGTACTTCCCATATTTCTGGGCTTTGCTGGATGTCACATGTGGCCAGAAGGAATTTTTTTCCCCTCC